GGCTCACGAGCTAGTAGATGGCTATCTACTCAGGAGGATGCACAATGGATTTAGTGAGGCCTTAGTGCCATGGGTTAACCACACGTTACAGACACAGATTACTACTGTACAATGGGAGGGCCAGGCTGAAAAAGTATTTGGTTAGCTGCCTTCTTAGATAGTGGATCAACAGTTACCTTTCTATGTGGCGTAACTTTTAATCCATCTTAAGGTGATCACAGTATTGATTTATATTGCGGCCAGAAGCGTCGTCACATTCTAGTGCTATCTCTGAGTAAATTTGTGTTCTGTCCAGGGTCAGTAGTGCTTGTCTGCTATCTATATAGATCAACAAGTTCCTTACAGTGATATTGTTTCTGCTAATTTGATTGGTGCTATGAGAATCCCGTGAGCTCGGTTTGAATTACACTGGCAATATTACTGACAGTCTATTTTATGTTTAGATTTAAGGATCTGAAATATATTCCACATCCTGAGCGTTGCTTTGTTTTAATTCTCTCAATGTAGATATAAATCGTAGAATGTTATTCTATTTACTTTATATAGCTTGTGAAAAATACAACTTGGTGAGGTTAAGTCCACGTTTACTTGAAGCAGTAGAAGCGATTCTTGCATCTCCTACCTCACCAGATATTACATTAGATTCTATTCCAACCGAGCGGCGTCGTGTCATTGCCATCAGAGAAACCCCTTTGGTATAAATATCAAGGGCAGTGGGACTCTTGTTATCTTAAGACAAGTTGTTCTTTGAATTTGTTCTAGTTTACTAATAGCTGTTAATCGTTGGGTTTTCAGTACCCAGACAACTGGACCCTATGTTAACAACAAGGCTTAAGTAATCTAAATTATACTAGATTAACAAAAAATAAATTTACAATGTACCTAAATACTTATATTATTTTTTTTTTTAATTATTGTGTTCATTTTGTTCTTGAAATAAAACAACTTTTTACCAAGACAATAAAATATTTTACTCGTCCACTGTAATAGGTGTAATGTATGTAGTAATACAAAACACAGAATAATAATTTCAAAAACATTTTAAATGGTTTGGGGAATTCAACCAGGACATGATAACTAAATCCCAATTAATTAATATATTATCAAAAATTAATATAATATAATGAATATAATGAAAATAAATTACTTATTTGTTAATTATTAACAAATAAAACAAATTGTTGACAATTAAAAATGTAGAGCTGCATTAACGATTTAGATATACCTGCAATCGTGAATTTATAACAAGAGTAATTTGTGGAATAAGAGTTGAAATGAAGGCCATATCGCAAGAAGATAAAGTTTGAGATCAATAAACAATCCGCTCGAGTTGTTCTGTATGTTTCTTCTACGACCCACTAATGAAAATCTACAAAATTTAAAAATTAATTTGGAAGTTATCAAGATAAAATACGTAAATGGCAAGTAAGCATCATTTTGGCTTATTCCAAAAAACTTAGTTTTTTCTTTAGCAAACACAGACATGTCCATAGGGAACTTTACTCTCTAATTTTTTCCTGGAGGACTCTATGCAAATGAATATAGAATTTGACAAAGAGGTTAATAAATTCTTTAAATTGATATTGCAATTGATTACAAATTTATTAATTTTAAAAACGAAGTAAAAAATAGTAATTATAAACAAATCCAGAACCATTAAGTTGTAATAGATACCCTAAATAGATATTTAATTACTCGTCCGAAAAGCAATCATGGACGTTTAATAAACGATACTTTTCATTATACCTCTCTTGTTGCTTCATATGATATTTTTTCTTTAATGTTTAAGAAGATAACAAATTAAAACTCTCATAATACAGCGTATATGTTTAAAACTAATTAAAAAATCTGACAACTGCTGTAATAATAATGAATTTGTTTACTGTTGCTACCCAATAGTAGTTTCCACTTGAGTTGTACAGTATATTTTTTCTATGACCCACTAACGAAAATTTACAAATTTTAAACAATTATTTTAGTTATTAAGATAAAGTAACTAATTTAAAAATTATTTAAGACTTTTACTAATTTATAAAATAAAAGAAACCTAAAAAAATATGTTTTTAATTTCATTAGTCTCCAGCTCAGATTTGACCTCTCGCATGACAGCCAAACGCCCTGGTCTTACCTCAATCGAGACATCACATTAGTTTTAATACTCATACATTTCTTTATTTCACATAGATTCATTAACAATTATGAAATATTTTTAAATGTGAACGAAATAAAAATAGAAATGCTATTATTTATCGATTCTACACAAGAAAAACCTCTTTTACTTATATTTAATCTCAATAATTTAAAAAAAATACTAACAAATAGTTTAACAGAATTGTCACTTATATAAATTTTAAAAAAGTAATACCAGGCAAGTGACCAAAATATTAACTGTGATTGCTGGATTTTATTTTATGAGGAACTCTTACTAGTTAGAATGTATATGAAATATATTCGTTTAGTTGAATGTAAAGGCATACTTTTTCGTTTTGTAGTGTCTACGTAGATGAGCTAATATCCGTGTGGGTGTAGAAAAAATATATATTGACGAATTTTAGGGCATTAGAAAAATGTTCCTGTGCGATCGCACAAAAAAACCATTTTCGGTGCGCTAAATAGGCATGTAGAAATAGTGTTTTTAGAGAAGTATAATAAGAATTCTTTTTCAACCGCAAATTTGATAGTTTTAGTACATGGAAAACGTACCAAAAAAGAAGTGTTGCCTTACATCAAATGAGGTAGTTCTGATTTTTTTATGAGTTGGTTGTGATGAAATTGGTAATGACAAAGTTTTCCACTTCGAAAGCACTTCGGATCACACTTAAATATTTGAAAATTCATTAAAATTTAGAAGTTTTTTCCGTTTTTGTCAATTTTTACCACCAAGGACCTACGTTACGGCAAAAGTTACTAATGATACTTTTTAAGTAGACTAAATTTGTAACTAAATGAGAATAATTTAGTTTTAGTGGGCCAAATAGTTTTTATGATACGGCTATTTAAAATTTTGCAAAATTTCAAAATAAAAGGAAGTAGTACAGTTATTTTAGTTTTCGACACTTTTTACCCTTAAGTAGTGGGTTTATTGGAAAAATTATTTTTTTAGTCATTAAAGTTTTCTAAATTCCCAACAAAATGAGACCAATTGTGTCAACTTATACCTGACACAGCTATGCAAATTTGTTAAGGTACGTAAATAATTATGTAATTTGGTTTTGGTAGGCCAGATAGTTTGCAAAATTAAAAAAAAAGGAAGTATTTAATTTATTTTTTAGTTGTCTGGTAGATTTTTACTGAAATTTTGTTTTGATTTTACTTGTATGTTTACCATAACATGTATTAAATATTATAACAGAATGTTTTTACTTTTATTTGCAATTAATATCACGGAAGAAACATTACAACAAAAACCTGTGTCACCGATTTGATATTCAAACTAACATGTTAACGCCAGTACCCTGTGGGTGCGGAAAGCACGGCGACGTATGAATAGGATGCGACGGGGGAATACTTAATGGAGGTAACAGTGAATTGCAAAATCTTAGCGATATTCGCTTCCAGTTGTTCACTGGGGCGGCAGTTAAGCTTAACATGAACCTCGCCAGATTCCCTCCAACCAGGGATGCTGCAAGATTTCACTCTCTGTGAACATACCACCAGGTGAGAATAAGTTTTTTGCTTGTATTCCGTTCTGCTTTATACCAAATTTTTTATACATGGTTCCTTATTTTGTTGTTGATTTTGTTTCAGGTATAGATGTGGCTGGCAAATGAAAATAATCCTCTCGATTGGGACTGGATATGAAGTACACAGAGCCTCGTTGCTCAACAGCTGATGGCACCACCAGCTCCTCAAGCTTTGCTAAATATGATTTTTTGTAACTGCAGAAGAGGTTGTATCAGCAGTTGTGGATGCAGGAAAGCATGACTAAAATGCTCGGCTGTTTGCAGCCTCTGAACTGGCCAATCTTGCGAGAACATACCAGACCTGATGTGTGACGACATTGATGAACCATTCATTGATGACCCACCATCGATGACGATTTGGACCTTTCTGAGCAGTTCAATGAAGAAATTCTTCTTTAGCAACTTGCCCCCAAAAGGTGTGCTGTGGATTCAGAGAACAAGCCTGGTCCATCAAAAATATACAAAAAATGCGAGTAATAACTATTTCTCTAACTGTACATACAATACAATGTTTCATTACATTTTTCATATTATTGTTTTAATTAGTAAAATGTTTGTTTTAATAAAGTATAATGCTTATTTCACTAACAGGGCGTACTTCATTTTGCAAATCTTTCTAGTACATAATTGTTAACTTACCTCAACAACTTTGAACAGCTGTGTCTCAGGAACTATCAGGTGTAAGTTGACATAATTGGTCTCATTTTGTTGGGAATTTAATAACTAAAAAAAGTAACTTTTCCTATTAACCCCCTCCTTAGGTGTAAAACTAAAAAAATAGTAATACTTTGCAAACTTTTAAATAGCCGTATCTTATTAACTATTTGGCCTACCAAAACCGAAATTATATTCGTTTTATTGTAAATTTAGTCTACTTAAAAAGTGTGCATTGTAACTTTTGCCGTAATACAAGTCCTTGGTGGTAAAATTGACAAAAACTGAAAAAGTCCCAAAATTAAAAGAATTCTTTAGTATTTGACAATGATCCTAAGGACTTTCGAGGTAAAAAATTTGGATTTGTCATAACCATCTCATTGCTACCAACATATAAAAAAATCAGAACTACCTTATTTGATGTAAGGCAAAAAGTACCAATTCCATGAACTATTTTGTAGTATACAGACCAAACTGAATGGCTTATTTATCTGCCGAAGTGAAATCAGCATTAAAAAATAGTCCTTGTTTTCTTTAATTCCAAGAATTTTAGGTCCTAGGAACCCTTTTTAATTTAATGTTTCAAATATTTTACTTGTCTTGGTAAAACTAAAAACAAATATGACGACCCGGTCTAAGATCTACGTCTCCCAGAAGAGGTACCTGTGGTAAGACTGATTTCCATGGCTCTCTGTTTGTGTCCAAGCACCTTAAACTGGGGCAGCGAAACCTCGCTGGAGACCCCCACCGAATTGGGACCCTCGTTCCACTTATATCGGATGTCTCGCATGGTGTAACCGACTGTAATCACAAGCCAGTGCCATTTGCGTATACAAGCAGGGCAAACGACACATACACATACACGAAACACAGCAGCGTATCGTTTAGCGTTAATTTTGGTGTAGATGATTTATAATCAGTTTAAAAAAGGGAAAGGAGAAGCATAGGAAATACAGCACTACAATTTACTAAATCGAAAAAGGCTCAGAACTTTGTTATTTAAATTATATTTTAAAATATTGGAATTGTTTCAAAACGAAAAGTTTTTGTGGAATTTATAAAAAGCTTATATACATGCTACGTGTAGTAAATAATGTTTTAATCCAATGAGTACAAATGTTTTTAAAATCTGAACATTTCTACGAGATAAACAAATCGAAGACGTTTAAATAGGTAGAAATAAGTTATTTTTGCTCTTATTTATCACCTACTGGTATCAGTTTATTCGATGTATTATTTATTTGTGTATTCTAATTTATATTGTCTTTTAAATGGAGATTCTTTGTTAGACAATAGAGAATTAATTAGTATACAGGGTGGGCCATTAGTGAGTGGGTGAAACATAGCGGGTTTATTAGGGTTCATTTTTAAAATTCATTTTTGGGACATGGTGTAGGACCTCTAAGGCTACAACCTAAAAATTATTTCGATGAAATTCCAATTGTTCTAGAGGGTGATTTATATCAAAGGTATGTTTTTTTAATACGAACCCCTGTATATTATTGCATATTTGGATTCTTCGGTCAATTTCAGTATAACTTTATGTATCACACATGGTATCAAAAATGAGTAGCTAAGCAGCAATTCATTATTTTTTCAAAAAGAAGATGTCTAGTAAAAATTGAATATCGCAGTTATTATTAAACTTAGAAGGCCGTGAGTCTACAGTATTACTAAGCGTGAAATGTACTAACATTTTCCAGACGATCAAAGTCAAACCCTTTTCGTGTTTAAAGTTATCGCTACGCCAATTTGCAAAATTTTAATCCAAGGTAACTTGATTATTTTAAATAGGACTACCAATTTTTTTTTATTTTATTACATGCAGAATTCGATTACCTATCTAATGATATAAAAATATGTTATATTTATCTTTTACAGATTTGTTTTTATTTAAAAAATTCTATTAATTTACAGAATTTTTCAATTTTTCTAATCTCCTTGAAATTAGTAGACCGTTAGAAATTACAAATAGCAATTTCAATTAAAAAACATTCAATAAGTAAAAAAAAAACAGAAAACAAAAAATAAATAACACCACATCAAAATAAAAAAACCAATTATTTTAATAAATGTTCAAAATATCTACCACCCTGACCTAAACAAACTTGGATTCTTCGACGAAAAGAAATTTTAACCCTATCCAATATGTCTGGGTTAATTTCTTCAAAAGCGTTTCTGATCCTGTTTTTCATGTTTTCAGATGTGGTTGGTTGTTCCGCATATACTTTTTCTTTCTTATGACCCCATACAAAGAAGTCCATTCGAGTAATATCTGGAGATATAGCTGGCCATCGCAATGGTCCATCTCTGCCAATCCACCTTCCATTAAATGTATTGTTGAGCCATGCGGTTACAACATGGGTACGATGTGGAGGTGCTCCATCTTGTTGAAAGTACATAGTTCTAATTTGAGCAAGTGGTACTTCTTCAAGGAGACCAATTATATGGTTATTTAAAAAATTTAAATAGGTTTCTGAATTTTAAACACCATCAAAAGAGAAAGGACGAATAACATAAGTGTCTATTATGCCTGCTCAAACATTAACCTACCATTTCTCCTGACTATTGACTTTGAAATAGTGAGGGTTTTCATCTGAATAATAATGAAAATTGTGCCGATTAATATAACCATTTCGGTGAAAGGTACACTCACCTGTAAACAAAAATTTTTTTTAAAATATTCTTTTTCATTTAATTTTTCTTCTGTCCAATTGCAAAAATTTATCCGGTGTTGATAATCTGTTTCTTTGAGCTCTTGGTGAAGTTGAATATGATGAGGATGGAATTTATTTTTATTTATTATTCTTCTGATAGAGGTTTGGCTTATTTGAAAATATCTTTCAAGTTGGCGAGTACTAGTATGAGGGTTTTCTACCACTGCAGTTAAAATATTAGTTTCATTTTCTTCATTTACAACAAATTTAGTTCTTTCTTGTTTTTGGATATAAGAAACATTTCCTGTTGCAATAAACCTGTCGTCCAAGATTCTTTCCTTGGATGACGTTCTCGTAGGATATCTTTCTTTAAAATACGACTTGCTAAAAACGGATTTCTAGAGCATTCTCCGAAAATGAAAATCATATAAATTTATTTTGGGAAATCTGTGCCATTATTATCACTTAAATTTAGAACGACTTGAGCAAAACTAGAAAGAGTTTTAATAACTAATTTCTAATGTCACAAAAAGTGACAGATTTACTTTATTTTCACAGCCTACTAATTAAATGGTTTTAAAATTTAAAAAATTCTTTGAATTATTAGATTTTTTTAAATAAAAAGAACTCTGTAAAAGATAAATATCAACATATTTTAAGATCATTAGAAAAGTAGTCGAATTCTGCATGTAATGAAATGAAAAAAAAAATGATAGTCCCATTTAAAATAAACAAGTTACTTTGGATTAAAATTTTGCCTATTTTACAATACTTTGCAATACTTTAAACACGAAAAGGGTTTGACTTTGATCGTCTGGCACATCTTAGTAGATTTCATGCTTAGTAACACTGTGGAGTCACGGCCTTCTAAGTTTTATAATAACTGCGATATTCAATTTTTACTAGACATCTACTTTTTGAAAAAATAATGAATTGCTGCTTAACGGCTCAATTTAGATACCATATGTGATACATAAAGTCACACTAAAATTAACCGAGGAATCCAAATATGCAATAATATGCAGGGCGTTTTTATTAAAAAAACATAACTTTGACATAAATCACCCTGTAGAACAATTGGAATTTCATCGATAATATTTTTAGGTTGTAGCCTTAGAGGTCCTACATCATGCCATAAAAATTAATTTAAAAAATGTACCTTAATAAACCCGCAATCTTCCACTCATGCACTAATGGCCCACCCTGTATTCATTTATGTTCATATTTGGTACTGTCCCTATTTAATTTTTTTTTTAAACAGAGTAGCATGAAACGTTTTATATTTACTTCAAATTCTGACCGGTAGGTATAAGTAAAAACAATCCGTTATTTTCAATATGAGATCTAGAAAATAAATAATTTAAAATTAAGTTCTGAGCTTTATATTTATAAAAATACCTTAATATCATTTTGAACTGCTTTTTATTAATAATGTGCAATATTTTACAATATGTGTCACTGTTTTCAAAACAGCATAATAAAAAGGAAGTGTTTTTTGAAAAGGTTTTTTTTTTGTATCGGAAAAGTTATTTCTTTATTATAATTTTAAATAAAGATTTTTTTATATTTAAAAATGTAGCTCATCCTTTTAAAAAGACACTTTTGTGAAAAATCGGTATACAGTTTGTAGTATACTTAATTTAATCATTATTTACAATATTTTGAGTTGGAATACGAAAAACGAAAAAAGTGGGATGTTTAATTTTTCAGACCAAAACTTCAATTTTAAAACATAATAATTCGAAACAAGAGAACTATTAGTATCTATAAAATAACCAGGATGCCAGTAGTACGTAACTTCCGTAGCATCAAAAGTTTTTAATTGAGTTTTAAATTGTAGCGAAAACCTTTGTTTCTCAGACCATCAAAGCAAAAATCAATTTTTACCTCTGCTTTTAGAGTTTTATTTTTACACAGGTACAGGGAAACATTTCGTTTTAAAAGAAACTTTATAAAGAACGTCATTGAATGTTCTGGAAACTTCTACCGATTTTGACAATGGGATTTGTCGTTTGAATCACACAATAGTGGTTTAAGACCATAAGTTTTTTTTTGTCTAATCAGAAATTTACCGCTGATAATTTTATATCTCCGGCAAAAAAAATGTAATACCCTATCGATCTGAAAATAATAATTTTAAAGCATGCTTTTTTTTAGATCCATACAACTTTTGTCCATAACACAAATTCAAATATCGATAAAAGAGACACTTAATGAATACCAATAAACATTATTATCTAAAACAAACGAAATACAAAACCAAAAACATAATCATAATAGAAATCAGGAATTGATAGAGCATGGACGAAATAGACTACCTAGACTGATTTGGACAAAACCTTTGACAAAACAAAGACAAATATCCAAATGATCCAAAGGTAGATAACGCCGATATGCTTGGATTGACTAAAGATGTGAAAAATATGAAAAATTTATTAAATAAGCAGAATTTTTAAAAGAAGAAAAACGTAAAAATATACGAGCTCAACTGATTTGGACAAAAGAAACACTAACTGTGTGGTATACTTAAGGCAAATTGTCACTAGGCGCTCAGGTCACACTACATTCACCATCCGCTCACAATGAAGAATGTGAGGCAGTATTCACATGTTATACTAAACTGATGCTCATTTTTCTCTATCTTCTATTTTTTAATTCAATGTTAAAGTTTATCTTGCACCCAGGTTGTACAATTCTTTGGTATTTCATACTAATTCAATTAGTAGTCCATCCATCTTGCTCTTAACACAAGCATATGAAAAGCAGACGTCACCTAATTGTTATTTGTACACAATGATACATCACGATTCGTTCAAATTAGTTGAAAGCGAAAGACCACGTTCAAAGATCATGTGTATACTGTGAGCGAAATATCCAATATGAATATTTTCAGTTAAATAGCGTATCACAATATTACATCGTATCTTAAATGGAGTGTGAGCAAAGTGTGAACCAAACTACGATGATAATCGGTCTTTGGTTTAACTCGAGATAAAAACGTTTGGAAAAATTAATTAAGTAATCGAAATTATTGGTATGTTATGTAGAAGTTATTAATACACTTCGACAAAAAAGGTCTTTTGTACTTACAGTCGCTAAGGCAGTAAAGGACTAGTCTTTATGTCTGTAATGACCCTTTTACTC